TATATAAAATCTTCTTTAAAAAAATCGATTTTCTTTAAAGAAATTTTATATGTTAGCAAAATGTTTTTTAAAGATTTTTCAAGAACTACCAAGCCAATTTTAATATTCTTACTACCATTAGATGTGTTTTGATGAGCTCTACAATTTTTGTTAGAAGCCCAAAGATGATTTATTTAGTAAAAAAAAGTTTTCCTTGTGCAAACGTCACATTTCTTTAAAAAATCTCCACATTTCTATCTATATAATTTACATATAGGACCGCATTGCATTATACTATGATAATTAATTAGTTTACTAGAGAATTATCAATTAATTGAACATACAGTATGTTCAAAACTAATTAGACATATGGGGCCTTTGCAGTAGATAGAGCCGATACTAGAATATATACAATTTTGAAATAATCGAGTTTGTTTTGTTAGGACTGATCTGGGTTAATCAAACTTTTCTTGATTTGATTGGTTAGTTATATCAGGTAATCTTGTGATATACAAGTCTCATAAAGAAATTTTTTTAAAATATCTCGATTTTTTATTATGCAAATCAATTTTCATTTATAATTAAAAAATGTAGCACATGTTAAAATTTATCCAAATATATCAAAAACTCAATTTTCATTTTTTGGACAGTATCAGCCTTTTCTACTGCAATGGCCCCATATATTCAAAACTAAATATGATACAGTTTTTTGTCCAATTTCCCAATACTGAATTAGCGTATATATATAATACTATGTGCAATTCATTTCTAATTGTTATAATATAGACTATTTAGATGTTTGATCAAAATTAACTCATTACGTCTAGTAGCTATTTTTAAAACTAATGAAATCAAACTTGATTTACTAATTTATTAAATAAATGCATTACATATTTAATATATCAAAATTTGCAATTGTTATATGGGCAATTTAATTTATTTAAAACATATTTGTTATATAATTGTAAAAATATCTTAAAAAAATTAGTTCAATAATTTATCTTAAACGTATTTGTTATGTAATTGTACAAAATTTCTTAAAAAAATTAGTTTAATAAAAAATTGATATGATACGTTAGTAGTAAATTATTATGCTAACAATTAAACCAAATATTATCAATATTTCGATCAATTCTTGAAACTAAGTGCATTACTTTCTTTATTATTGCTTTGTCTCTACAATTACCTTTCTATTATCAATATTCTCTTTGTTTTGGTTATCTTGGTTGCGCAATAATGAATATATTAATTTTCAAATAAATATCACATAATCCACGATGGAAGAAAATTTTTCTAAAAAAATAATCTGTATTAAAATCACATATCTGAATATAATATTTAAGTGTCGTCAACTCTTTATCATAAAATATACACTGCTCAAATTGTAACTGTAATCATTCCGAAGATAAATTCATTTAGAAAGGTATCTAACATAAAACTTGCAAAAAATGCAAAAATAGCTTTAAAAAAAATTGTTAGCTGCAACCACAAATTCAACTATTGAACCAACCAGACAGACTGAAAAGAATGATCATGATGCTATCATTATCCAGGAGACAGACATTAATGATAATGTGTATATTAAGATTGACTGCCTTAATATGGAAGACCTTATTAAGTACAAAATTAAAAAGTTATCATTTGGATCTGATACAGTCAATGTAGAATATCAGACATATTTGCTTGTGAATGTAGATGTAACTTCGAATATGACAGCCAAGGATGTTGCTACTCTTATCGTTGCTAAAATAGAAGATGGTGATGATTATTCATAGAAGTAAGTATATAAATTGTATTTTAAAAATTTTTTTTTCTTTCTTTTTACGTACGTGGATACTTTCAGATATTTAATTTTTATTTTATTACTTGTTGTAGCTTTCATCATTTCAAAATATCCAAAAAATTTGGTAGCAGAGTTGGTAAATTTGATTATATAAATCAGCAAAATTTATATACAGATATAAATCGATATATAGTACTTAATCGATATATATCATTTAAAATATATTGATATATATCGATAAAAGTGTTATATATCGATTTTAATCTAAAAT